GGAGTCTATGGTGGGTATGTACTATGTGAATAGGCGGGTTCGAAGAACCCTCGCCTAAATTAGAGCACTTACGTTGACACTAAAGGGCTATTTTTGAGCTTGCATGGCTAGAGATCAAAACCTCTAAATCTGAGTGATTGACATTGGTGGCAGTGATGGAATACAGTACAACTCATGCACAGCATAACATTACACCCATACTCAATATGGGCAAGCCTTAAACTAATTAGATTTACATCTTGTTATGATTGTGATTTTCTGTAAAATATTTTCTCTATCAGTGAATGTGCTTTACAGAGGTAACGTCACAATAAGTAATATTTTAATAATTCAGTATATAGCAACTTCAATTTTCTTTTATATGCACTTCTATAGGAGATATTTTTCTAATGGAGCAAATATTGAACATTTGAAATGTGTACTCTGCCATGAATTGTATACTAGATGACAAGAATTGAAATGAACACTGACACAGCTGTGGAATCATTAAACACACCCTGGTATAACCGTTTCTTACTCTAGTCAAACCATTGAACAATGATTAGAATACATTTTTTGTGATGTCTAATACTACATTGTTTTTCATAGCTAGATACATACTTGGTCACAAGGGAAACATGGAAAAAATAGCAATATTTAAAAATCACAAATTGTTCAGATTCATGTAGCAAATTGAAATACATTAATGCCACTGTTGCAAACACTTTATTTTACAAATATTATTAAGTAGTGTATTTTTCTGTTAGTGTAGATGACACATTTTTAAATGGTGACCATATTCTCAAAATAATTCTTGGTTTGACATTAGTTTTAAACAAACCTATAAACAATAATTTACAGTTGTGTTTTGCGAAGAGTAACAAGACGCACAAAACTTGTGTTACTCTTTGTCATAAAGAAATTAGATTATTAAATTGCATTTGAAAATTATTTTGTTTAGAAAGATTACTAATGTATAATATCACAGATTATCTTAGTATTATTGCTTAATAAATCATTATAAACTACTTCATTAACACATCAGGCTTACTGATGGTGGAACAATTATTGAAAATGAACAAACACATGTTTTAATAGCAGAGTCAACTAACAACGCTTTTGTTTTAACATTTTAGCTATAAAGGTAAATCAGAACAACATATACTCTTCATTAGAAAAATAAATTAAATGCACTGCAGTAAAGAAAATTATCCTGAATATTTTTATGATGGGTTTTCAGAATATAAAATTACCATGAAAATCTGTGATTCCTTCTAACTAAATTACAGTATTAAATGTTGGATTTGTGGCAGAATACTGTGAACAAAAAAACAACGTAACCAGCAATATTGAAATATAGCTCACTGTTTTGCTAACAAATTAGTAATATCAGCTTGCTATTGCAAACTGTTAAAACTGTTGGGTTGATTTTTCATCGGTAGTAACCATGTATTTTATTCAGTCAAACTAAGTCAACTTTATACACTACATGTATATATAATCTCTAATAAATATTTTAAATTCATTATAAAGCCATAATAATATAATGCCGTGATATATGTTCAGAAAAGCATTTGTTGCATTGGTGCTTAAGTTGTCGATAATAATTCCCACAGTGCAACAGTATGATGTCATTTATAGCCACAAAGATGGTCCATTACATAGCTACTGATGCATATACCAATTTCTATCAATAATTTGTTCAAGCAAAGTATTGTGGCTTTTATTTAGCATAACACTAAGCATATTTCTCAAATCAACACTTTTAAGTCTTTATATTGAATTCAACGGTTAGAAATTGGAACACACAACTAGCTCATAATCATGGAACGTGTTTAGTATTTCTGACCAGCAAAATGCCGATAGCCTTACCGGTAATTGAAAAGTATCTCTCTAGTCACAGGTGTGCAAGAAAAGTCTGTTTAGCTTTAAGCTTAGTGATTATTTAAAAGAGACAGACAATATTACTGCATGTAGTTGTCTTCAATACTTGTATCTATATGGTATAATGATGGCCTTCAGGTTAGTCCTATAATACCCATACATGTATGTGGATCTCTTTCATGATTTCAAATGACTTTTGACCACCATATTCGACTTTTGTCATCTCTCAGAAAATGAAACCTGCAATTGTTTTCATATTTTTTTCTAAATTTAGTGAGAGCTATGGTTAATAAGAAATTACATGTCCATTTGTTGCAAAATTATACAAATTATTATTATACATAAAAAATAGAGGATAGTGCTCAAATAATTAACGTGTATGCAACTTGCTCTTCATAATAATGCACGAAAGTGATTCATAAACAGTTTACTTGAATGGTTATTGACAGATGTACGTATCAGTATATCTCTGTTAATTGAAAATTAGTATGCATGTAAACAATATTAGGCCTAGAAATAACATTTATGTTTCTGGTCTTTACTTCCACCAATTCAAAATCACATCACAGCTTTTCACACAGAAAAAATAAATTCAACCATCAAGAAAAATAATAAATGAAAGCATCATGTTAAAAAAATAAAACAATTATATGTGTGTGTGTTTCAATTTAAGAAAACAAATTGACTAGAAAATTTCGCTTTTTATTCTGTAGAATTTATTATTAATAGTTTTTTACAAATCGTCTTTAATATTCATTACTGAATGTTTTGTTAACCATAGCATACACTGCTGGTAATTCTTTAACTTTAGCTTGACATGTCTGTGTTAACATATTGGTGCTAAAACCATGGCAACAAATACAAATTTTTGTAAGTAGACCAGGTTTATTTCTTTAGAAATATACTGGTACTATCACTGCAGAGATTTTGATTAAGATACTCAGTAGAAATGCAGGATATATCAGGCAAAGTGTTAATTAGTTAGTTGAATTATTAGATTAAGAACGCTTCACTTTTATTATCATGTTTAATCTTTGGATTTAATGATTGAATTAAAACATATGAACTTTTTATTATCTTTTCACAGTGCTTCTAAAGTCAGTAAAATAACTCGTTGTGTCTACTTGCATGTAAGCTACTCTAAGAATTATAATCAGGGTTCAGGTATAACAGTCCAGTTGCTTTTCGTATTGAAGGTTTATAAAAACTATCAAATGAAATTCTGTCCAGAATTACTTCCATATTTCATGTGGTTTGATACCACATAAAATTATGCATCAAAAAACCAGGCAGATTGTATATGCAACAAATAACCTGGTAGATGCAGCAAATAACCTGGTAGATGCAGCAAATAACCACATAGATGCAGCAAATAACTACGTAGATGCAGCAAATAACCCAGTAGATGCAGCAAATAACCCAGTATATGCAGCAAATAAAACAGTAGATGCAGCAAATAAAACAGTAAATGCAGCAAATAACCCAGTCTATGCAGCAAATTACCCAGTATATGCAACAAATAACCCGGTATATGCAGCAAATAACCCGGTAAATGCAGCAAATTACCAGGATATGTAGCAAATTACCCGGGACATGCAGCAAATATCCAAGTAGATGCAGCAAATAACCCCATAGATGCAGCAAATAACCCAGTATATGCAGCAAATGAAACAGTATATGCAGCAAATAACCCAGTATATGCAGCAAATGACCCGGTATATGCAGCAAATTACCCGGTATATGCAGTAAATAACCAGGTAGATGCAGCAAATTACCAGGGATATGCAGCAAATAACCAGGTAGATGCGGCAAATAACCTGATATATGCAGCAAACGAAACAGTAGATGCAGCAAATAACCCAGTATATGCAGCAAATGACCCGGTATATGCAGCAAAAAACCCGGTATATGCAGCAAAAAACCTGGTATATGCAGCAAATAACCAGGTAGATGCAGCAAATAACCACATAGATGCAGCAAATAACCACATAGATGCAGCAAATAACTACGTAGATGCAGCAAATAAACCAGTAGGTGCAGCAAATAACCCAGTATATGCAGCAAATAAAAAGGTAGATGCAGCAAATAACCCAGTATGTGCAGCAAATGAAAAAGTAGATGCAGCAAATAACCTGGTATATGCAGCCAATTACCCAGTATATGCAGCAAATAACCCGGTATATGCAGCAAATTACCCGTGATATGCAGCAAATTACCCGGTATATGCAGCAAATAACCAGGTAGATGCAGCAAGCAACCAGCTAAATGCAGCAAACAACAAGCTACATGACTCGGTATATGCAGCAAATAATCAGGTAGATGCAGCAAATAACACAATAGATGCAGCAATAACCTGGTATATGCAGCAAATTACCCAGTATATGTAGCAAATAATCTGGTATATGCAGCAAATAACCCCGTAGATGCTGCAAAAAACTCGGTATATGCAGCAAATTACCCGATGTATGCAGTAAATAACCCGGTATATGCAGCAAATAACTTGGTATATGCAGCAAATAACCCGGTATATGCAGCAAATAACCCGGTAGATGCAGCAAATAACCAGGTATATGCAGCAAATAACCCGGTAGATGCTGCAACTAACCCGGTATATGCAGCAAACAACCCGGTAGATGCAGGAAATAACACAGTAGATGTAGCAAATAACCAGCTAGATGCAGAAAACAACCAGGTAGATGCAGCAAACAACCAGCTAGATGCAGAAAACAACTAGGTAGATGCAGCAAATAACCAGCTAGATGCAGCAAACAACCAAGTAGATGCAGCAAACGACCAGCTAGATGCAGCAAATAACCCGGTAGATGCAGCAAACAACCAGCTAGATGCAGCAAACAACCAGGTAGATGTAACAAAT